CCGGCGCCCCGGGCCGCGCTCCAGCCCCTGCACGTGGCCGTGCACTTGTGCGGCGCTCGCGCCGGCCCGGGCTGCGTCCTGTCGGCCCGCAGCTGGGCTGCGCTCGCACTGACAGCTACATTAAACCTGGAATCCTGAGGCAATAAAAAAGAAATTAACTCTTATTTTTTTTTCCTGTCCTAGAGGAATAAGCAAATGTAAATGCGCCTGTGGGGAAGTGAATGAACCCCCGTTCGGAGGAAAGACCTCGCGCTCACCCCCCGCTCGCTTCCTCGCCTGGAAGCTCTGGGAGCCGCGGGCCGGGGCTCCGCGTCGCTGGTGCCTGCGGAGGGACTCGGCGCCGTGGCACTTCCAGGTGGCTTTGAGCACAGGCGGGTGACATAAGGCAGCAGCACCTGGCCCGAGATGGGAGGAAGCGCCCGAGGGGGCTCCTGGGCACCCGCGGGGCAGCGCTCGCTGGTGCCGCGGAGGAGCTGCGCTGCGCGGCCCCCAGCGCCGCCGCATCCTGCGGTTTCGCTGGAGGAAGCCGGAGTGGAAACCTAACACGTCCAGCGCGAGTGACAGATGTGGCGAGGCGCGGCGACGCCGCGGGGAGCCGAGGATGAGGGGGATAAAGTGACAGGGACTGCTCTCACGCTCGGGCCGCCCTGCGTGGGGACAAACCCAGGGCTGCGGCATGGGGCAAGGAGGGGAGGTGACGAGGCGCAGGGTTAGCTGCGAGGGGCGTTAGTGGCAGCAGGGACAGCTCGGCCTCTATCTCTGGGGCTCTTTTTAGCACCCGTTTGGTTTAGTGAATGGGTTTAGTGAAACCCGTTCACTTCTTCATCTCTCCTCCCTGCTCTGTCTTGCCCAGCATCCTACCACGCTCGCTGCCTCCCTGCTTCTCCCTGTTGCAGCCCTGTTTTTTGGGGCTTGCAGGCGAGGCCTCCACGTGGTTTTTCTTCCCTTTCCTCCTTCCCTGCCCCATGCACCTGGCTGCCCCGGCCCTCTGCGAGCATCCCCTGCACGGGTACCAGCAGTGCTGGTGTTTTCCCCATGGATCCAGGCGTTCTCCCTGCTCACCCGCCGCCGATGCCCGGCCGCGCGCGGGCCCTGCGCATCTCCCATGGGCAGAGCTCGCCTTGGAGGTGGCCCAGAGCAGCCCTATCGCATCCGGTGCTTGTCTCTGCAGCCTGGGTCGGAGGATAAACTATCAGGGCTGTGGGGCAGTGGATCATTCCTCTTATTATTTTCTTCTTTTGCAGATAGGGGTCGTGGAAAGTTCAGTTCCTTTTAACCCTCGCAGCTCTGTTTATTTTCCAGCTGGTAGCACAAACGCAGCGTTTCCCATTACATCACAGAGGGCCTCGGACAGATCCCTCCGAAAAAACGTGTTGCAACTGTTTATTTTTTTCCATATTTAAACATTTCTGACAGCCAGACCTGGCCGAGCCAAGCGATGGAGCTTTGTGAATGAACCCAGCTCCCGGTGTCTGTGCGCAGAGGGCTTTGAAGGACCTCTCTCCTCCGCCGCGCGCTGGCCGGCGCTGGCTCGGGGACGTGGGCGACTCTCTGCGTTACATGTGTGCTGATTACGTGCCGGGCCGTGATTAATGGCCGCTCATTCTGCCTGGCTCCCAGGACGCTCTTGAAAACAAGATGTTTCATTTCAGTGCGCTTTCCTGGTACATTGATTCCCGTAAATAACCCAGCGCAGACTCGGTCCACCTGGAGCAGTTCAAAGAGCAGGGGGCCTCCCTGCAGCCGCGCGGCGGCCGCGGTCACCGCGGCACCCCCGGGTGCCCGGGCCGCCCTGCACCTTGCGGGGCTCCGAGGCCTCGAGGGCACGAAGCTAAAACGAAGGGTTTGGGTTTAGGTTTGAGCTCAGGGTGCCAGCGGGGCCCAGCAGCCTCGGGCTGGCCCAGCTGCAGCGTCGGCTCTGCCGGCAGCGCTCCCGGCGGGCCCGGGATTGAGCAAGAGGCGGCTCCGCTGCCATCTGGAAGGAGCCGGGGCTGCCGTCAGCCCCGCGGGGGGAACGCGGCCTCCCGTGCCCGGGGAAGGCGGGATGCCGGGAAACGCCTGCTCCGGAGCCCCTCCGGAGGGGCGGCCGGTGCCACCTCCTGGGTGAGGGTCCCGAGCCCTCCCTGCGGCGTCCCCGTCGCTCACGTCTCTCCTCCTGCCCCTCGCAGGGTCTCGGAGGACGTGTGGGCGACGCTGGCCGACTTCTGCAACGTCCTGACCACGGTGAATCAGTCGGAGGTGCCCTTGTACAAGGACCCCGACGAGGACCTGGCCCTGCTCAGCCTCGAAGAGGATCGGCTGCTCTCGGGCTTCGTCCCGCTGCTGGTCGCCCCTCAGGAGCCCTGCTACGTGGAGAGGACCTCGGACAAGGTCAGCAGTAGGCCAAACATCCCCCCTCGATTCCTCCAGACTTTTATTCTTGGGAAGTTTTTCTGTGCAAACGGAACACGATTAAGTCATTGAGAAGGGTGTTAAGGGAAAATATCGACCTTTCAGCCGCTGACATCCAGCGCTCTGTGTCATGAAAACCCCTCTCGACTTCCTCTGGTGTGTGTGTGCTCGCTGGCATGTTGTATATACGATCATTTCCTCACTTGTTTAAATAGTGCAGCTTGTGTTGGCAGTGCTCTCGGTGCACTCCAAATGGTTTGCATCATGCTTAAAGCACCCTCCCCCCGGCCACAAAACTCGCCGTTCGGAAAGAAGCCAGGACTTTTTTCCTTCTCTAAAGAGGAGAGTGATAAATAGGTGACTAGAGAGAAGCAGACACCATGTGTTAACGTACAAAAGGCTTTTAGGAATATGAAGCGTTCCCCACTGCCCGCTCTCTATTTTCCTTTCTTTGCTCTAGGAGCCCGTTCGAGGCTGAACTTTCCTTCGGCTGTTTGTTTTTAGAATAATGAAATCAGTTCCCTTGTTGATGTGGGGTTTGGGGGCTGCGCTCTGCCACCACCTGGCCAGAAGGGACCTGGGGGCTGCGCTCGGATAACGGCCCTGGGCCTCGTGGGGGACGGAGGCGGCGCGATGGCATTTGCTTTGCAGGCCCTTCATGACCCGTGGGGACAAGAGGGGCTCTCTGCAGCTCCCTGCTTGGAGGCAGAGCTGCAGCACCAGGTCCCCTGCTCTCCTGGAGCCGCTGCGCCGCTTCCCGGCACATTCGGGGACATATGGATGAGCAGGGAGGCTCCTCCTTGGCGTTTTGCTGAGCTGACTGTGAGAAATTTGGGACCTCTGACAAGGGCGAGCACCGAGGTGCAGCTTTCACTTCCCTGCTCACAGCAGTGCCCAAGGGGTGCAGGAGAACCAAGAGCTCTGCGCTGTGGAGAGGAAAACAAAATAATAATAAGACTCTATGTGAAGGGGACAAAATATCACCTAGAGAGTTGCCAATTCTGCCCCAAGGAAGCGGGTCTGTCCAGGCTGTTGACCTGGACAAATGTGCGGCCCTGGCACCTGCCGCCACAATCCAGGGTGTCCAGGGAGCAGATCTGCTCAGAGAGTGCCCGGGATCCACCGGATCCACCTCTTCCAACCGCGCACCCGCTTATCCAGAGTGCCATCTACCTGCCCTGCCAAGCACTTGCGCTCGCGGGCTCGGAGCAGAGAGGCAGCCCTGGGCTCCCCTGGGCCCCGGCGCTGCCGTTTCTGTGTCCTCGCGTCCCTTGGGTTCGAGCTCTTCCCGCAGGAGCTGCAGGGCAGAGCTGGCGGGAGGGCTCCCTTCCCAGCACGGCAGCGGCCACACAAACCTCAAGGGCTTGGGGGCCTCCCGGTGCCCGTCCAACCCTCCCGGGAGGCTGGAGAGGCAGAGCAGACCCCAGGCAGGCCGGGCTGCCCCATTTCTTCTGTCTCCTCGGTGGGTTTGGTTTGTTTCTGAAACCGGGATCGCACCCAGGGATAGGGAACACCCCACACCGTGTGTGCGAGTTGGGCTGTGCTGACACCCGCACACGTCGTCCCCTCCCCGTGTCCCTGCGCCCCGGCCGCGTCCCACGCGCGTGGGCAGAGGAGGCCGCGGGTGCTGGGGCTCCTCGTGCTGAGCAGAAGCTGCAGGTTCTGCAGGGTCTGTTCTCAATCCAGCGCCGGGCAGGGTTTTTATTAATGTGCTGAGCCGGGAACCGGCGAGCGCGCGTCTTCACCAAGCGACGCCAAAGAGGATCAAGGGGAGACCAATGAGGCTGATCAGACATCTCCAAAGCCTGATTTCCAAGGAGAGACCGAAAGAACTCTGGGGCTCTTTAGAGAAGATTCAGGGAAAAGGATGTAAGCTTTCAATTACAGAAAAAGCTGTTGCAGAGAGGAAGAGAACAAGCCCCCTCCAGCTCCGTGCTGCGTGGCACGAGGAGGACTGGGCGAAAAAGGCAACCGAGCAGATTAAGGTTAGACTTTAGGAAAGGCTTCATAGCAGAGGGTAGTTGAGCACTTGGAATAGACTCCTTGGAGAGACTGTGGAATCTGTTCAGGGTTAGAGGCTTGCAAGAGCCGGCCGGGTGGCATTCTTGGTGTAGTGTGAGTAGAGCTGAGCTGCCCTGGAAAAGGAGGCAAGGGAGTCTTTGGACCCTCCCTGTCCATTTTGTGGGATTCAATAGTGGATTCGGTGGTACTGTACAAAGGAACTGGCGTGCTAGCTGTGTCACTGCAGTCAAGTGGGTTCCACAGCCCCTCTCCAAACCCTGCGGACGTGGCTGGGAGGCTGGGGGCGCCGGTGCCCGTCGTGCCCGGCGGTGGGAAGGGACAGAGAGGCAGCCCCCGCTGCAGAGCAGCTCGGGCGCCGGGGCTGCATCCAGTCCCGCTGCAGGAGCTTTCCCCTTTCGTGCACTTCTTGCTGGTTGCTGATTGACTGAGCTGCAAGCAGGTGAGAAGTGGTATTTCCGTTCAGCAGTAGCTATTTTCAGTACTGATTTTTCATTCCTGTATAGCAAGTGGTATTTTTTTTTTTTGCACCAAATTTCCTTCTCTCAGATTTTTAACCTTGGCCTCATTTTCAGAATAAGTTCATCACAGTTCTTGGCTGGAGAGGCCAAGGCAAAGTGCTGCTGTTTGCATGACACCCCATGAGCGTTGTGTGAGCTGGGAGGAGGATGTTCTTATAGCCAAGGTGCTCTGAGACGCTGCTCTGCGATACCTTCCTGTGAGCTGCATCACTACTGAGATACCTTGACTCTCTGCAGCAAGGAGAGTGTCTCACCTGCTTGCTGATGCTCCATATCCCTACCCCACTGTTTTGCACCAGTGTCTCTTAATGAATTTGGAAAACTTCAGAGGAAAGGAATCTGTCTAAAGGCAAGACTGGAGAATATTGAACTTAAAATGGTTATTGGCTCTGCCCAGAGGATGATTGCTTTGTAAGCTGGGTAGGACAAACACTGTGCTTGCCACTTCTTTTTGTTCTCCGAGTCCCATTTAGCGGGTGGAGGGCTGTGTTCAGCCAGCGTTTCTCAACAAGTTGTTGAGCGTTTGGCCTGGCTCTTATTTTGAGTGAAAATGTTCTGACTTCTTCCATTGCCGTGAAGCTGCGCGTTCGGATTCCTGCCGGAGCCAGTGTGA